AGAGAGAAATGTCTAAGCTTAAAGAGCAGAATGTGAAGGGAGGCCCAGAGGGAAATGCAGTAAGAGCCATGGCTTATCATGCTCAGTGAACGATGCTGTGTCTGTCACATCCCCTTGTGCCCTCACCTATCCATCTCCAGCTGTAGTCTTGCCCTGACAGCTTTCTACCTACAGGGAGACAAGTGTCTTTCTGATTTATTTCTTCAGCCTCCTCAGCAGCCGCACCTGCTCTGCTCTACTTAGAAACGCAGCCAGGAACGCTGCTGGGAGAGCCAGTGCCCTCAAGGCAGCCAGGCAGCCAGGCAACCGGGCAGCCGGGCAGCCAGGGCTAGGTGTCAGAAGGGGGTGGAAAAATGCTGTTTTCCATCATTCATGTGGAAATGCCAAGAGACATTCTGTAATTCCTTGGAGATTTCCCCCACAGGCAAAAGCTAGTTGCTCTTGGCTGGGATCTCAATGATATTTTCATTTAGATAGAAGTTTGATATGTCGTGCAGACTGGCCTAAACTTAGGACAATTTTCTTGCCTCAGCCTCCCAAGTCCTAGGATTTAGGTGTGAATCGCTATGCCAGCTCAATTATATTCTTTTGTAAAGTTAGTTTGTATTACTTTAAATTATGTGTATGTGTGTGCATCTGTGTACATTGAGTGCAGGTGCGTGAAGAGGCAGAGACATTAGATCTCCTGGAGCTGGAGTTATGGACCACTGAGAGTTGACTAGCATGGATGTTGGGAACTGAACTCAAGTCCTCTGGAAGAGCAGCAAGTGCACTTAGCTTCTGAGCCACTTCTCCAGCCTCTCAATTACATTCTTCAATTTGCATCTTCATCTCTCCTGTCTGACCATCCTGCCTCTCATTACCTTGGCATCACCTTCCAAATGCATGACTAGAATCTGTGTTTGTCTCAGGTTCTGCTCACTAGGGTGATGGGGGATGTCCTACTGTATGCTGTGAATATGTTTCTGTTATTGGTTGGTGAATACAGCTGTTTCAGCCAATGGACAGGAAGGATTTAGCCAGGGGGAAATCCAAACAGGGATAGAAAAGGTAGTAGGTGGAGTCAAGGAGACGCCATGTAGCTGCTGAGGAAGCAAGAGACCCAGGTATCACTGGTAAGCCAAGACTATGTGGAGATACACAGATTAATAGAAAATGGGCTAATAATTAAGAGAGATTTAGCCAATAAGAAGCCTGAGCCATTGGTCAAACAATTAATGATTAATATATGCCTCTGTGTATTTATTTGGGAATAAACGACAAGACAGAAAAATTGTTCTATACCAGGAGCCCATCTAAGATGTAGATAATTACAGGCACAGGCAGAATAAAACCTTGACACAGGAAAAGCTGTGGTGTGTGTGTGTGTGTGTGTGTGTGTGTGTGTGTGTGTGTGTGTGTGTGTGTGTTTTGGGGGGTATCCTATAACTCTCTATTACTCTGCAAATTCTTGTTGGGACCCTTACTAGCTCAGTCAACACAAAGCCACTAGGCAAGGAAGGCTAAGAAATAGAATCTTTGAGAGGAAGGCAACCCAAGACAGATCAGGATTAAAAAAGAAAGACAATAGGTTCATGTCCTAATTTGCTTCTCAGCTGCAGTGATAAGCACCATGACTAAAAGCAATTTGGGGAAGAAAGGGATTTTATGAAGTTGGGAAGTTGCAACCTCAGCTGAAGTGGAGGACACTATAGGATGTTGGAGATGGTAGGACCAGGAGGTGTTTGTTGAAGAAAGCTGCAGGCATGGAATGGAGTTGGCCCAAGAAAGGTCACATGATCTACAGGGTCAAGGATGCTCAAGGCCATTGTCACCCAGGTGATTCTATCTCAAGCCCCAGATGCTACAGGATTTGATATTTGCCTTTCTATAAAATGAGACTTTGAGGACCAAGAGTAGAATGTTTGATTTAAAGTGACAGGTTTGGGTGGCAAGCCAATAAGAGGCAGAATTGCAATGACTACTCTCCATTGACAATCTGAGTGGATTTAAATCTCCATCAAAACAAACATCCTGTTATAGCTGTTGAGTGTGTGTTCATAAGGGTGTTTTTAGAAAGGAAAACTTGCCTTGAGTGTGGGCAACAGTACTGCATGGGCTGGATCCTGGAACTGAATGGGAAGGAGAAGCAAGCTGAACACCAACCTTCATCTCTTTCTGTTTCCTGACTCTGAACATGGCTTGACCAGCTGCTTCATGCTCCTGCCACCACGCCTTCCCCTCCACGATGGAACACACCTTCAACTTTCGAGGCACAACGATCCTCTCATTCCTTCACTTGCTTTTGACAAATGGTTTGTCACAGTCATGGGAAAAGTTACTAATACAGTTAGAATGTGGGGAAGTGACAGAAATTTCACATAGTAGATTTCTTCAGTTCTGATGGGAAAGGAGGAACTCACAACTTTGATTAATGTAGACATCCATTTACCTCTCTTGTGAGAAATACCACTTTATTAATTATCAGGTAGGAAACTGCCTTGCTAAGTCAGACAAAGAAAGAATTACTCCCCACGTGCTAAATATATAATCCTCAACCATGCTAATAACAACCTACGCACTTTTCCAATTGCCCTAAACAATCCCAACTTTTTGAAAAGAAATACAAAAGTTTCTTGTTTAAAAAATGAGAAAAATAAAAGTATTTGGTGTTCACATCAAGAGAAAGGAGATGTTTATTGGGAAATCTCTCAGAGATGGAAAGTTTCTAGGCGATCCCCCAAGAACAGCAATGCAGACGGCACTATTTTATTTTCAGAGACATCACATTCATCACAGTTTCCATGTATGCAATGTGTTTTATCTTGGTTACATTCATTATCGTTTATTCTAGCAGGTGAGAGTTCTCCAGAGATGCAAGGCAGGAAAGGCAACTGCAGATTTATGACCCTTGACTGTCAGAGTCCTATTTACTTAAAGCTCTTGAAGACGATGACATCACTGAACTGTGAGCATGATGAGTTGAAATGAATCCTGAAAATGTCCTTGACCCTGAAAGGGAAAAATAATTCCAGCTCACAGGAATTCTTTCTTTTTTCTTTTTTGGCTTTTCAATATAGGATTTCTCTGTGTAGTCCTGGCTGACCTGGGACTCACTCTGTAGACTAGTCTGTTCTCAAACTCAGAGATCTACCTGCTTCTGCTTCCAGAGTTCTGGGATTAATGGTGTGCACCACCACTGCCTTGCAAAATTAGCACTTCCTGTTGGCTACCATCTCTTTCCCTTTTTTCCTCTTAGCTTGGCTTCTAGGAAGAGGCAGGGCCTGTAACTTTTTTTTTTTTTTTTTTTGTGCGTGTGTTTGCTGTGTATGTGTGTTTGATGTGTGTGTATGTTTTCATGCATGAGTGTGAGTGCATGTGCCATGATGTATATGTGGAGGTCAGAAGACAGCCTCCAGTTTTGGTTATTATTTTCACCTTGTTTGAGGCAGGATCTCTTCTTCTTTTTTTTTTAACTGCTGCTTAATGGCTGACCTTCAGGCTCCCAGCAATTCTCCAGCCTCTACCTCCCATCTCTCTTCAGGAGTGCTAGAATTTCAGATGAGCATGCTACCATGCTGGACTTTTACGTGGGCTCTGGGGATTTGATTACAGATCTTCAGAAGTGCATGGCAAGCGTTTTACGAATGGAGCCTGAGAACATTTAGTTTTGACACTAGGTCTTGAACATTAGGTTCACAGTATTTTGGCTGACAGTGCATGCACCTTTGGTGTCTCTGGCATAGGCCAGGAGGAGCCATTGGTAATGGCTGTAGGAGGAGAGTGGGAAGGGGTTTGGATAGTTTGGTATTAGTTGTAGATTAGAAGCCATTTCTCTATTAAGTGTTGATAGATGTGCAGGTCCCAAAATCCCCAGAAGTTACCTCTGGACCTCACATGTGGCAGAAATTGGTAGCTCCCAAGTTTTGAAGTCCTGATGCTATTGGTATCTGGAGGAAAGCGGTGTCCTTGATAAAACACAACTCCTGAAGTAGACAGATGTGTGGACAGGAAATTCCTTAGTAAAATGGCCAGTCCACTGCAAATAGGCTAGACTTTCCTTTGCCTACCTCACTTCCTGGCTGTCCTTTTTCTCGAACTGGCTGTTTTTCTTACTTAGGGCTCTTCAAGCTCAGCATTCTCCAGTCTGCTTTGAGTCTCAGCTCTGGACTTCCTGCCTGAGGGACCCAAAGAAGACTGTCATTCTCTGAGCCCCACGCTCATAATCTGTAAAAGGAGTCAGCAGCTTGGTGGCCAGTGACCCTGTTGTTTATCTGTTTTGAAGTTCAAGGGCAGTTTTATTAGCATTTCAAGGAAATACCCCAGGGCAGGCAAGCTGTAAATCTCTGCAGCTGGCCAAAGGAAGAGAATGGAAGGGAAAAGAACCGTGTTGTGAGTCAAAGTTACCGGCAGCTGCATGGCAGGGAGGTGGGCTTCAGAGAAAGCATTTGTCAGAAAAAGTACATCTGGGTTCTGGCCAACATCTGAAAAAAGGAGAGAGCAAAAAGAAAGAGGAGAAGTTGCATTCTGAGTCTTCTCAGAAAGGGCAAATCTCTTCTGTAGGGAAAAACTGAGATAATGTTTGAATGAAATGATGTACCGTTCGCTCTATCCATCACTATAAACAGGTGGAGTCAACTAGCTGCAGGTCAAAAGTACTTAGAAGAGACCGCATTCAGAAATGGAGTCAGGCAAATGTGAGGATGGCATGGAGAGAAAGAAGTGATACAACAGCCTTGAAGGGGAGGTGCCAACAACAATGTGGTGTCACCAGCCAGGGTCTTTCTTCTTGGTTTTCTTGGCCTGGCACATATAACACATCCCAGGCCTATCCTGTATGGTGTGATAGTTGCCCTGGAAACAGTGAATCTGAACTTGCTCTAGTGCCTGATGAAGGGAAGGATGAAGGAACCTGAAGACCCTAAGCACTCCTGGGCCAGTTTCCTGATGCAGGAGACTTTGGGTTGAATAAACTGCCCACTGCTTGGATTAGGACTAAGTTATGAATGTCTCTTTCCTAGAATCCGAAGGACTAAATTGGGAGATCAAAGGTGGATTTGCCCCATTTGTACAAACCATTCACTCTTGCAAGAACTTTAGAAGAAACCTAACAAGTCCCAGAGGCAAAACACAGGTAAGAATTAATCTGTTCTCTTGTCTAAAACTGCATGGCTGAGATTCTTTATGGCTATCATCAATGAAGTTATTATTCTAGTTCAAAAATTTACTTAAGAAAAATTATCAGAATTGAAAATGTACAGACTATTTTTCTTGCTGTTATAGTCCAGCTGTATGCATCCCAGGACAGCCATTAATTCGGCCTAAGACAAAATTGTAAGTTTATTTAAAACATTAGTAGCCTTTTCTCCGTGTGGCTTGATTGTGCACTTTACAGATATCCAGTTATGATGTCAAAAGGTTAATGATGCCTGTATATTCATTCATTCATTCATTCAGTCAGTCAGTCAGTCAGTCATTCATTCATTCTTTCATTCATTCACTCATGTCTATTACCACATGGAAAATAGATATTACAAAAATAATATGAAGGTGATTTAAAGTGTACTGGAGGGTTACATAGGTTATATGCAAAATTTTCACCATGTTTTGTTCATCAGCCCATGAATAAAGACAAAGAATTGGGACTTAGCTACAGAAATAACATCAAGATGACAACATTTTGAGTAGGAAGATCACTGTTTTTATAAAGGACTTGAACATCTACAGACACTTGAATCCTTTGGGATCCCAGAACAAACTCCCCTGTACAAATGGCTACTTTTTTGGGGAGGGGGTGGTTTTTCAAGACATGGTTTCTCTGTGTATTTCTGGCTATCCTGGAACTCTGTAATCCAGGCTGACCTCGAACTCACATAGATTCTGCCTTGCTCTTACTCCCTGAGCTCTGGGATTAAGGATATGTGCCACCACAGCCTGGCTCAAATGGCTGTGTTTTAAGATGCCTTGTAAACTGAAAAATTCTGCAGATGTTCAGGCATTTGACTTGATGTGCTTTTCTGTTACTCTAACTGAACAACACAGTTAATGCATAAAGAAGTTTCTTTAGTTCATGGTTCTGGTGGCTGGAAAGTCCAAAAACATGGTGCTGGTATTTGCTGAGGCCAGTCCTAATAAATCATAAGAAGGCAGAGGACCTCACATGGTGAGACAGAACAAAGTCACAAGGTAGGACTCTTTCTTATAAAGCCACCATAGGGCCTAGTCCTTATCACCTCATGTAACCCTACTTACCAATGTTGCCAAGTACCACTGGCATAAGAATTTGGACATCACAGTTAAATTTATGGAACTTTAAAGACACATATTCAAAATACAGTAGTACTAGATTCAATTTCTCTGAAGTCAGGATAATTTTGAGCCTGTACCATCCTCAGAGTCCAGAGAATCCCTGAGAGGTCCACCATGTCCTAGGCTGTGTGGAGACTGTAACAAAGAGGTCTTCATTTGAGAATCAGACCTTTGGGAATGAGATAATGCTCCTCAAAATAGTCCAAGGGGAATATTTTTCATAAAGCAGAATCCTGAAAATCCCAAGTTTGTCTAGATGGTTTATTGAACTGGCTTCTTTCTCTTTGAGATCTCTCCAGCTGAGCTGTGCCACCCAAGGAGGATTTAGTCAGCAGTGTTTCTCAGAATTACATTGACCAAAGGATCCATCAAGACTTTTAGCAATTTACAAGCCTGTAACAATAAGTCTTTCCACCAAGCCACCCCAGCCCTGCTGCCATGTGGGCACCCAAAATAACACACAGAGATTAATATTGGGTACAATGCTGCTGGCCAATGACTAAGATTTCTTCTTTTCTTTTCTTTTTTTCTGGAACACATGCAAAGAGTTTATTATGACTGAAATCCACAAATCTGATATTAAATTAAATTCTTGTAACTCAATAATATGGTAACCCAGACGATATGGTAGATACAGTTTTCCCTTCTAAGGAGTTAAACTCCAGATTCCCAGTATTTCTTTTTTTTCCCCATTTTTTTCTTTTTTTTTTATTTGAGTTACAAACACGATTGAATTACATGACAATCCCAGTTCCCTTCTCCTTCCCCTCCTCCCCTACCACCCCCAACTAAAACCCTACCTATCGTATATACTTTCTTCTAATCAATACCTTACTCAACCTTTCTGCTCCCTCATGACCTCTGCATCCTTCCTCTTCTTCCCTTCTCATTCTCATAGCTCTCTCTGCCCTCTTCCCATGCTCTCAATTTGGGGATCTCAGGGGATCGTGACCCTTTCCCCTTCTCCAGGGGACAAACTTTGTCTCTTTTAGGGTCCTCCTTGTTTACTAGTTTCTCTGGCAGTGTGTATTGTAGGCTGGTAATCCCTTACTTGATGTTTAAAATCTACATATGAGTGAGTACATATCATGTTTGTCTTTTTGTGACTGGGTTACCTCTCTCAGAATAGTTTCTTCGAGTTCCATCCATTTTCCTGCAAATTTCAAGATTCCATTGTTTTTTTCTGCTGAGTAGTATTCCATTGTGTAAATGTACCACATTTTCTCTATCCATTCTTCGGTTGAGGGGCATCTAGGCTGCTTCCAGTTTCTGGCTATTACAAATAGTCCTGCTATGAACATCGTTGAACAGATTTTCTAGCTCTGTCTTAAGTATTGACCATAAATATTAATCTATATATTTTATAAGACTTATCGAGGACGCCTGTGGAATGCGTCATCTTCCCAGGATCACATGACAGCTCCACAGAGAAGAGAGAAGGAAGAAGAAGAGAACAATTTCCTGCTTGTCCCTGCTTATATTCTGAGTCTGCCTGCTATGTCACTTCCTGCCTGGATCACAAGACTACTCTTTACTACATTTCCTAGAATCCCCCTTGACTCCTAGTCCCACCATTCTTGCCCCTCTATTGGCCAACAGTGCTTTATTCAACAACCAATAAGATAAACATATACACAGAAGGACCTCCCCCATCAGAAGCCTTTTCAGAATCCCTGCTGGGATGAAGCACAAGGCTTAATCTGTAAGATGTCACATCACATCTTGTGCTTTCATTAGCTCATTAGCTAATTTCTAAAGCAATGGCAAACAGAGGACTAAGCCAGGATGTAAGGGATACAGACAGTGTTTGAGCACAAGAGAGGTGTGAGTAGTGGAATGGCAGTTGTGCAAGAAAGAAGGGACATTGGGGGCTGTGATTCCATCAGCTACTTCACATACCCTCAGTGTCTCCCCAGACAGCTACCACCATGTTTTTACAGGGAACTGGAGGCTGAGGTTACATCCATTCCTTACAGTTGTACAGTCCATTGGTAGGAGAACTGGAATTTGAATTCAAGCCAGCCTGGTCTTTTCTTCCAGCCTTTTTCTTTTCCAGAATAAGATCCAACCCTTCCAAGAAGTGGGAAGGTGAAGACAAGCTTTGCTTATCTTACAAATATGTGGAAATGGTTGTACAGAGGGAACTGTGTGGTCACTGAAAGGCACAGTCACATTTGCAAAGTATGAGCAACTCTGGTTATTTAGGAGTTGAAAAGTCCTCTCACTGTGTTGTATGTATTTTAGACTCAAAGAAGGCTGAAAGGAGTGTGGGTAGAACTAGGTTCCATTGAAGTCACTACCTTGATGATTAAAGATTTATGATGCAACTATAATGAATTGACATATAAATAGACCCAAACTTTGCCCTCAGGAACCCAAAATAAACACACAAGATTTATGGTCAGAGCATTTGATGTCAGTGGCTGTTTTAGGAGCATATGCATTCCAGGATTCTAGCAAGTAGGGCTGAAAAATGTGGCCATCAAGGAAGTCTTTTTTATTGTTTTTTAAAATAGGTTTTTTTTCTTTAAATGTGTTGTATATGTATATAATTGGGCTTATTATGTTTATTTTCATTGTTTAATTAACAAATATCCCTAAAATTTCTGCTTCTTAAAATTAGCTATCCATCATCTATCATCTATCTATTTACATTTATTTACCTTCTGCATAAAAATGGGCTTAAGGAGGCATGCACAATTCTTATCAAAACAAGGTATGGTGTTCGTACCTACATTCTCAGTACTCAAACTAGTGTGGAGCTTCCTAGTTTACTGGCTTCATTGTCTGGATATTCCATGGCCAATATGTCAAAACCGTATTGACTTGCCAATACTATGGGGTAGCAGTCCAACTTACTGAAAATTAAAATTATACATGTATTTGTATATATTTTAATTAACATTTATACATTGTCTATCAATATATTTACATTTATTTATTTTTCTTAAGGCAAAAGTAACAACTAATTGCTACAGGGAAATACATAAGTTACAAAATTGCAAAATTTACATTTGCACTAAAATAGTATCTAGTTGTTTTAAAGCATTTAAAAACAAAAGGATTATTATAATGTAGAGATAATGCTGTTGGTAGTTTGATCAACTATATATTTGGACATGTATCATTCAGATAAAGCAAGAATTTTAAATAACTCTTGGAACTTTGTAGATTCTCTTTGACTTGCAATAGAATTATGTTCTCACACACCTATCCAAGTTGAAAATATCATAAGACAAACTTACATTTAATGCATCTGTTTTACTCGGCATCAAAGCTTAGTAGTGTAGCATACTGTAGACTACTCCTTGCTTTCCTCATAATTGCATGGGGCAGTTAGAAGCTGTGAATAACTGCCACTGCCCAATATCATGAGTGAGCATCTGGCCCTATCACAAGGCTAGGAAAAGATCATGATTTGAAAACATTTGCTACTGAATGTACAGAATTCACTCATTTCCATGTAGTCAAAAGATCACAATTGGAGCTATCACAAGTTGAGGACTTTTAATCTCCTGTTGTAGAATATTAGTTTAAAAAGTGTTACATTTGATTATGCTGTGGGACATTTGTTTAAGGATACAGAGTGGTGTTGCATTCTTTTATGTTGCATTTGTTTAACTCTGTAAAGCTGTGCTAGTTTGCTTTTCTAAAACACCTGATTGGTCTAAGGAAGAGCTGAATGGTCAATAGCAAGGCAGGAGAAGGGCTGACAGGCATAGAGAATAAATAGAAGAAATCTGGTAGGAGAAGATCAAAGAAGAAGAAAAGAAGGGGCCAACCACACAGCCACATGGCAAGCCACTGAGTAGGAAATAAAGAAAGATATACAGAAATAGAGAAAGACAACAGCCCACAAGCAAAATGTAGATGGGATAATTTTAAGAAAAGCTGGCTACAAACAAGCTAAGCTAAGGCTGAACATTCATAAGAAAGAATAAACCTCTATGTGTATTTATTTGGGGTCTGGGTGGTGGTCCCCCAAAAGAACAAAAGAATAAAAAAAGAAAAAACGCACCAGTTACATCTCCCTCATAATTTAATTGGAATTTGGAAACACTAGCTTTAGAAACTCTGCTATGTTTCAATGGTGCACAATCAGCTGTTTATGATTTGTTGATTTTAGCAATAATGCTGTAATGAACATTGTGGTGGTGTTACATATGAACTTGACTGGTCTGAGGATGCCCTGACAGTGGGCTAAACTTTCCTTCTGGGCTTGTTTGTTGGGGGTGAATCTGGAGAGGACTGGCCTTTGTCTACTGAATAAAGATGTACTCTCACCATATAAAGCACGTGTTCCAGTATGTCAAGGAGGTACAAGCAGCACATGAGGCAGGGGAAGTATGAGTTTTCTTTCTCCTGGAGCTGAAACACCTGTCTTCTGCTCTGGAATGTCAACTCTCTGGGCTCTTTGGTCTTTAGATGCAGACTGAATATGACACCATTGCTTCATCACCAGCTTTCCTGGGTCTCTGACTTGTGGATGAGACATGGTGGGACTTACAAGTCTCCATAGTTGTACAAACAAATTGCTGGTCTCAAATCTCTTTCTGAGCATCTATTTATATCTGGTTGGTTCTGTTTCTCTGGAAAAGCTTAACTAAAATAAGCTTCCTCAAAGTGAAACAAAAGATGATTTATTCAAAGTAGATTCCTAGAAATGGGATTATTGGATCAACAGGAATAAATAAATACAGTTGAATCATTCAAATTTATGTAACTTGAAGACTGATGTGTTTGCATTATGACCAACCAAAAGTGACAGAATGGAAAATTGGAGGCCAGATAGAGATTTCCATTGTATAAAAGCCACTCTGACACATTTGAAAGAAAAAAAAAAGATTGTATTTTTCTAACTCCTCCTCCCCCATATCCCTCTTACTCTTCTAACCACTTAATCTCTAGCCCTTGGCTACTAAGAGGTAGTTGTGTAAACTTGGGTCTAACAGGATATGCATGCCACAAGCCACAGAAATTAAGCCTGGCTAATTCACACAGAAGTAAATGTAGTAAAATGTTTGATCACTTACTGAGTTACCAAGTGCTCCAAAGAGCTGGATTGGAAGCCATGTGACTAATCCAAACCTCTAAAACCACAGCAAAACTGTTCTCCAAAGATCTGCTGTTACCTTTCTGTTACTGCAGCTGACATTTACTGTCATTGCTACGTCCAGGTGCTCTGGAAAGGACGCCAGCTGACCCTCTAGCTCATGAGTCACTGCCCAACCAGGTGCTCTGTAATTGTCCTCCTTCAACCTGCAAGGGAAGTCAGGAAAACAAAGCTCCAGCACTGAGAGGGGTTCTTACTGCCTACAGAATGCATCAAAGGGAAAGTGCATGATGTTGAAGAAAGATTTGGGTGCTAATCTGCCTAGGATGAATGATGTATGCTTACCATAGACAGAAGAATGGATGACCCAACCCTCAGACACCTAAGGACCTGTCATGGGAGGTTGGAGACTGGCAGGTCTTCTGTGGATTACAGAGTAGGACCAGATCTGGTTTGTCATCATTTTCTAGTGCTATGGATAGAGTGATATGCATTAAGTTTTGTCTTTTCTCTCTCTCCTTTTGTTTTTGAATGAGTGGATGGATGAGTACTGAATGTTCAGGCTGGCTGATGGAAAATACTGTGCCCATCATGACAGGTAATGACACTGTCTTCTCTTCCATCACATGGATGGCATCAAAAGGAATGGAATGTAGACTGCCAGGCTAAGGACTCCTATTCCCTTTGTCTTTGCCTTCTTTCCCATCCACATTTTCAGGGAAATGCTCCAGACCACATGGATTATAGTCATCGTTCCTTGACAAGACAGAGAGCAGTATTTTTAGGCATGTTTTTTCATAAGGGAAAAAAGTGGTAACTTACATATTAAAAGCTAATAACCAATGGGACTGAAAATCTAGGGTGGACATATGAAGCTTTTGACAAAGGTTGCTAGTCAGTATATGAAAGCAAACACACTCAGGGTTTATTATCCTTTCCTCCTTCTGACTATCACAGCATTCTGTATCCTTTAAAAAATATTTTTAAGTTGCAGTATTTATTTTGTAGGATTATAGATAGGAGAGAAAAGTTTGGTTATAAAGCCATATCTGACCGATTTAGATTTTCCAAGGCTGATTTCCATTGTTCACCAAGGGGAGTGAGCACACCGATGACATCATTTATTGGCATCACAGAAGGACAAGGAAGGTCAGGACTGCCTTCTTTCACATCCCATCCCAGCTTTGGTCAAGCCTTTAAGAGTATGTGTGGAGAGAGGTGGCTGGGGATGATGGCTGGCAAGTCACCTGAGTGTCAGAGCTCATGTCCCAGGACACCATGGGCCATTCTTTTTAAAGATGTCACATCTTTACCCCATTCTATATTGGTTTTCTCTTTCCTAAATAGATCTTTTCTGGCTATTGACATCAT